AAAATCCCCAATATAATTGTCGATTGCTATTTTAACAAAGCATTAAAAAACTCTGCTCCAACTTTATCTCAATTTCTATTCATGAGTAAGAATTCATTTACATACAAATTTTATGTATCACATTTGTATAAAATTTTAATAATTTATTTCTTTATTTTTAATGATTAAGTTTTATCATAATTTTTTAAATTAAAAAATTATCCTCAATAAATATTAGAAAAGCAAATAATTTTAATTATTTTACGTTTTATTGTTATTCAATTGCTTTTATCATAATTTTTTAAATTAAAAAATTATCCTCAATAAATATTAGAAAAGCAAATAAATCTCAATTATTAAAAATAAAGTAATAAATAATTAAAATTTTATACAAATGTAGTAGGTAAAACTTGTATGTAAATAGATTTCTAGTTTTTATAATTAGGTCCTTTAATAAAACTTGATAATTACTCCCAGCCTCTTTTATTAATTGACTCCCTCTAAGTGTACATATGAAAATTTAACATATAATAATTGTGTTTTTATAAAATTTGATAAATTTTTTTTAAGTGCAAAATAAATAAAAGAAAATGTGACAAGGCTCAGTCAATAGAGTTGTAGTTTTGATAAATTTTGCAATTCTAAACAAAACACTCATTTACTTTCATATATTTTTGTAACTTATTATCATAAATATTAGAAAAATAAAAATAAAAATAATTTTTAATACTATTAATTAAATGAGTTTATTTTTCTATTATCTGGTTTAAAACTTGCTCCAAAGAAATTGTTAATGGTTAATTTTTTTAATTTTAATTTTGATTTTAAAAATTACAAATTTTATAAAAAATGAAATTAAAAATCAAAATCATATCAAACAGAACTTGAATTATTGCGAAGGAAGCATAACAAAAGACAAAAAGGAGAAAAACATGAAATTTTAAGTCTTTCGATTGATTACTTTATTCAAGTTAATAAATAATACTCCAGTATTTTTTTAATCTATTAATGCAGTTTAAAACCAGTGCAACGTCTAATGACCGAAAAAGGTAGACTTCAAGAGAGATTTACTGGAACTTGAAATCTAATAATGCATCCCAACATGCAGTGTTTTTACAGACCGTACCTTGCTGACCGAGAAAGGACATTGAATTTGAATTTCACGTTGATCATCTCCATTGATTCTTTGGAAGCTTGGAAACTTCGAAGCAAATACCTGCACTTGCTCACATTCAAAAACTTCTAATGATTGCAGAGATGGGCATATAATATGCATTCGATGGCAAAAACCCTTGAGCTTGGGTAGCCTGTGCAGCCTCAGTCCTGTCAATTCCGAAAATACGAACTTGGTGTCAGTTTCCACCAACGTCGGCTGAGTGTCTGCCAGAGCTTGTGAATGGCTAGCATTGGGTGCTTCAACTATTTCTTCTAGTGAATCACACTCGGGAATGAGCAGATCGTTTAGTCTCTGTAGTCTTTCCAGCATACTAAATGGGAAAATGCTCACTAGCATTTCACACCAACCTATACCAATGACTTTTAGTTTGCAAAAGGAATCTCCATCAAGTTGATCAGCCCATATCTTGTTCAAATTCCCCATCCGATAAATCAGTAGCCTCTCTAATTGAGGGAATGCCACCTAGAGATTTTGCTAGATTGCATTAATAGCTAAACAGTCTAAAGAGATAGGACAGACATAATACAGATGATAGAAACCCAACTTTAGAATTAAAATGGAAAGGCTGTATTATAAGACACCAATTACTGCAAATTAAAGGAAAAACAATAGTAAGAATCACCTTTTCATTGAAGAAAGGTGGCGCATAGGTGTTTTCTGCTTTCTCACTACTGACTGCAATGTCTCCAGTACCAGGACTAGAGGTGAATGTCTTAAATATAGGGCATTTGCCTATTTCAAGATGTATAAGGTTGGGGAATTCAATGCCATTTTCAGGACAGAATCTTGTGAGTTTGGAAAGGCCTTCAAGTACCAGGGATTGCAAATTAGGGAACGATATCTTGTTGCTCCTTTCTTCTTCTGCTAATCCATCTGCCACGATTACCCCTTCCATCATCTTGCAGTTTCGAATTGTCAGTGATTCAAGATGCTCAAAACTTTTAACCATAGAGCATGTCAATAGGTAACTCAAATTATCACAGCCATCCACAGTCAATTCTTTTAGTTTTTCAACAAAAGAAGGCATTTCTGGGGCCCGGTTGTGCCAAATTTGTTGAATGTTAAGAGACATACTTAAGAACTCCAACCTTGTAAACTTAATCTGCAAAGAGATTCTATTTAATTAAAAACTATTTTTTTCTCTAATCAAAAGTAAACAAAGTTAATTTTCTATCAGCTGCAATGACAACTCAGTTTTATCAATTAACTAA